TAGGAAGACCATCGGCAATTTTATTTGAATGTTTGGGAGCTTACTGAGTTATCAAAAATAAGACCGTCTGTAGGATCAGCAGTGACACAAAACAGCTGGCCAATTTTTAAGTGTGATTTTTGGAACATCAATTATCAGAAATGAAAGTGTAAGACCAGCCTGTGGGATCGGCAATGAAAGAAGACAGTCAGCCATCTTAAGTTTAATGTTTGAGGCTTATCAAACTTGTCTGGAGGCTTGGCAATGACATGAGACAGTCGGACAACTTCAGAGTGAAATGTTTGGAATAGCAACAATCAGCAGTAAAAGTGTAAGACTGAGACATCCGGCCACCTTCTTAGTGTAATTTTAGTGGTTTAACTTAGAAATAAAAATGTAACACTGGTTTGTAGGATTGGCATTGACACTAGACATCCTGCCAACTTCAAAGTGAAACGTCTGGAACATCAACGAAAAGTGTAAGACCAGTGAGTGGGATCAGGAGGAGACAGCCGGCCAACTTCAAGTGTAATGTTTGAAGCCTTACCACGGATAAAAAAAAGTAGAAAACTTTAAGACTGGTCTGTGCGATGAAAATGGGACATTGTGAATTACCCTTATCAATGTGCAACCTGTCTGTGGGTACAGTATTGAAAACGACATTATCCTGCCAATTCAAGGTAATGATTGGACCCTTTTTATGCGTGGCAAAAGTAATACCAATCTGCTTGATTGGCAAAGATAATGTGAAAGATAATCATATCAACCTGAATTAAGAGAAGGTTTTGCAGTTTTACCTTTGTTGACAAAAATGTGAATTTGGTCTTAAGCCTCTGTATAGAAATAAGTAAGTTTGTATTTGTAATAAGTAAGTGGTATTTGCAGCTTTAAATTTTCATTTTAAACTATATGTCTAGTCTACCTAGAGTAATTGGTGAGGGCTGCTTAACTTAGCAGGTTATAAATAAAAATATGACTGGCTCTGGTCAATTGGCATTGTCATTGTGACATCATGATATCACCTTTAAGAGAAGTGGGTACAGCTTTAGCTTTTTTCAAAACTGCTAGGATGTTGTTTGGAGTATTAGCTGGATTTTAGAGTAATGTCAACAGCAAAACTAAAAAGTAATCTTTGGAGCCTTACAAGGTCACCCAGATGCTAAATTGTTAGTAGAAGATACTATTGACCTGTTTTGGAAATCAAAATACATGCGTGGACTCATACAAAAATTTACAGGTTTTGTGCTCTTGTACCACTGTAATAGAAGAAAAGTTCTTTAACAAATATTTTTTAGTTGTTGGAGGTAGTACATCATGGGAACGTGTATTTTCTGATAATATTTAGACTAGTGAATGTCCTTTCCACCTGTTTCCCCAACAATTGAGAAAATGACTTTAATGCAATCTTAGGAATAGGTCAAGCTGAATTTCTTGTATTGCATGTGTACTAAGTCAAGTCCTGCAGTTTCCATCAAAAATGACAAAAATCTTAAGGTGAAACAGGGTGGATGAGGACACAGACAGGACATGGATGAACCTCAACTAAGCCAATACACAACCAGAGGAACCAGAAGCAGGCAGGAGGACCTACAGATGAACTGATGACCCTGCTTGCTGAACATGACATTACAGGTCCTCAAGGTGAAGTTAATCATGAAAATGAAGAATATGTGGTTAAATAGCATAGAACGACAAATCCCTGATCCCCCTTTCCCCTCTGTTGGTGGTTTCCCCTTCCCGTTTTTAGTGGATGTTTCATTGCATCTTTGGCAAAGCAATGTGGTTGAGGTTAAACCCTCCCTTAAATGTGAATGTTGCAAGAAGAGAATGTACAGTTGAAACATTTTGCAAAGGGGCCAAATGGGTACAAGAAAAAGCATGCAGCTGAAAGCTGTGAAGGAACTTATCTGTGAATCCACATAAAACCCACTTAATGGAGGTTTCTGTAGTAATTTGGAAGTTAAGTTTTGTTGTTAGATTTCAGGAGAGGAAGATGAGCTAATGGCCCTGCTGGTTGAGTATGTTTTTGACTCTTGAGGTTAGTTTGAGTTATAACTCAACAGGAGTTGACCAGTGTGTGATTGCTCGTGGATGTCACAAGAGCTGAACATTAAGATTTTCTGGTGCAATCTCATTATCAACAGGTGAGACAAACTTATTTGAATATTAATGAATTCAACGGAGTGGAGGAGCTCAGTAGTGTGTATGTGCATGTATCACGCAGCTCTATATGTGTAGAAGAATGACTCCAAATCTGCTATATGAACATCATTGTTGATAAATCAGGCCATGTATTAACCATCTGGCAATGAATTGGATCACAGATACACAAAGACCTCAAGAGAAGTTTATTATCTTCAATATTATCAGTGGCAGCATGTTTTGAACTATTGCATATTAAAAGAACTTATTTCTATGAGGATCCTACCAAGAGAAAATGAACTACACAACTATTTGATTAAGAACTGTCCTAACAACAAGTGACATTTGCTTGTATTCAAGAAATCTTGTTAATGTAACCTAGCTGGCCTAGGTCGAGAAGTTTTTTTATTTAATCAGAGGAATTCATGCAGCTGGCCAAGAAGAATCCTGAAGAGTGAATCTCATGACATTTACTCCCATATGATTAAGCTCCATCACTGAGGCGAACCACCAGCATGGAGGATGAAAAAAATATGACTGATTGTGTTCACTATGCCTAATTCTAAAGGTAGGTTACCACAAGGTTTATCAGAAACAGAGAACGGGAGAGAGAGAATCAAAATCTTAACAGGGTTCAAAATGAAATACCAGTGATGAAGTCATACAGATGAGACCCTCATAGCACTAGTTATAAACTAGTCATGATACCAGTCACATTTGCTCAAGTTTATTTGAATAGTTTTAACTAAAAATCAGAGGCCTTGTGTTGGTCTTTTGTGCTCTAAATAACAATTCTGAACTACAAATTAATGTCTAAAGAAAGTTTACTGAAGACTTCAATTTGTCAGTCATCATTTCTTTATTGGTAGTTTGTTCCTTCTGGAAAGGGGCACTTATGTGGTGATTTTAACAGATTTTAATTAATGCTGATGGCAATAACTAGTCACAGGAATTCTTAGACATATCTTACTCATATCATTTGGCATCCCACATTAATAAACCTATAAGGGTCACCCAGACATCTGCTTCTCTTATAGATACCATCTTCTCTAACTTACTCCCATTTCCAAACGCGGGTATCTAAGAGACTGACATTTCCGATCATTTCCCAATATTTACATCATTTCCATTAATCAATCGTTCAAATCCTAGACCTGCCAAGTCACATACCCAGAAATACTCACATGAAGACATAACTAATTTAATTTGTGACCTGAACTCATGTGACTGGACCAATGTTGTATCTTCCTCTGATGCCAAAACTGCTTTAAACAACTTTATGGATGATTTAAACTGGTATATGGATAAGCATATCTCCTTTACAGATTGGAGACCTATGTCATGTAAAACAATTCCTAAATCCCCATGGGTCACTGTTAACTTATGCCAATCAATATACCACAAAAATAAGCTGTATCATAAATATATGTCTCACTGTATTGATTCTAACCGAAAAAATATATTAATAATATTATATTAATATATTAATAATATTTTACCTAATGTCCTTCTTAATGCAAAATGTAAATATTATACTGAGCAGTTTCAATTGCACGAAATAGTGTCCGGAATTGAAATTGATGGTGAAACCACTGACAACCCAAATCATATAGCTGATCATTCAATAATTATTTTACAGGTCAAAATCTTTATGAAAAATCCCATCAAGTACAGATAAGTACTTTGATTACTTATCTAATCCTAATCCAAACTCTATCTTCTTTGCTCCAGTCACTGAACAGATTATCAATATTGTTCACAGATTACCAAAGAAAAAAGTGCAGGCCATGATATGTTAACCAGCTCATTTACAAATGGAATTATCTCTTCAATTTCTAAGCCTGTAACTCTCATAATGAATTTATTCATCACAACAGGAATATTTCCTAAAAAAAAAGAAAAGTCTGCCAAGGTTGTTCCTATTTTCAAGAGTCCTATTTTCAAGAGGGTAATAATTATAGACCAATATCAGTTTTACCTACCTTTTTGAAAAGTCTTGAGCAAATTATTTTCAGTCGCACAACTAAATTCCTCAATGAACACAACATAATATCTAATGCTCTGTTTGGTTTTCGGAAAAATCATGCAACATCACACGCCATTTTCAAATTAATTGATAAAATTACTACTATACTTTACTTGTCCCAAAATACACTTGGCATATTTCTAGACCTATCCAAGGCTTTCAATACTGTTGACTACAACATTCTTTTCTTAAAATTTGCCTTTTATGGAATAAGAGGTATTGTTGCTGAATGGTTAAAGCTACCTTTTGAATTGCCATCAATTTGTAATGGTTGGGGGTGCTCAGTCTACTTTGAAAAATATATCCCATGGAGCTCCTCATGAATCTATTCTTGGAGCACTTCTGTTGTGTATTTACATTAATGATTTTACTAACTCTTCAGATTTGTTTTCATTTGTCTTGTTTGTCAACGACAGTAATCTTGTTCTTAATCATAAGTCATAATAATATTATGATATATATATGTGCTTGCAAACTTAGCCAATCAGGAACTCCTTAAAATCTCAGGTTGGTTAAAAGCTATCCCTCAAAATTAAGAAAACTACATGTATGCTGTTTTGTAACAAAACATGGTCGAGTTTACCAAATATCTATATTGATAATGTAAAAATAATTATTCTGATAATGTGAAATTCTTGGGAGTGTACATAGATTCTAATCTCTCTTAGAAAACTCACATCAATAATATTGGTACTATTTTCCAAGAAATATTGGTATCATTAGTAAGCTCAAAGCCTTCTTCCCACAAAAAGTCCTCTTCATGCTGTATAATTCATTAATATTGCCATATTCAAACCATGGGGAAATTGTGCTGTTAAGCATTTCAGCAGAATTTACAACTTACAAAATCGACCTCTAAAGGTCAAGGGTCATTAATTATGTCAGAACGTACCAGTTCTCTTTTTTACAAACACAAAACTCTTAATGTAAGTGACATTTACTATCTTCAACCTGGAACCTTTATGCACTGTTTAAATAACAATTTGCCCAAACTACAATTAAACAAATGTTTTGTAGAAATGAAACTATTCACCATTATTTTATTAGACAGTCTAGAGAATATCACTCTTCATTTGCAAGAACCACCAGTTTTCAAAAGACAATTTGTCATGATGAAGGCCCCAAGTACTGGAATTTCTTACATAATTCTCTTACTACCATTCACAGCCCCCCTTATTTAAATCCAAACTTAAACATTATCTTTTCTCAAATTACTTGAATTCTGAATAATCTAGCAGGCTAACGTAAACATGTACATGTGTCAAAGATTTGTAGTATTCTTCCACTGCTTTGATTGAAGTCTAGAATTGTCTATTGTTTTATAGTCTCGTTTAATATTTAATGTGTTAATAGCTTAATATAACTATTTTTCCAGCTAAGGTTCAAACGTGTCAATTGTCTTTGTTCATTGTTTCTTTTAAGTCTGTTCAGTGCTTAATGTAACTTTTTTTTTTTCAGTTAAGGTTCAAAGTTAAATTTTAGTTTTCAATTGGGGATCCCTATTCGACAAGCATTGCATTTTAGTGATCTCCATCCACATCATTATGAATAACTCCGGAATATAATCATGTATTGAAAATGCGTTGAGTGATGTGGAAAAAATAATAAAGAATGAATGAATGTATTTCCAATTTGTTCATTGTACATTTTTTTCATTGCTGATTTCAAACTTGTGCTTTTTTAATGTGTTAGGAGATGAAGGATGACAATCCTGATATGATTGACTGGCTAGTGAGGAGGTTGCTGCACCTGGATGAAAGTTACCATGGCTACATATACACCCCATCACAGGTGAAAGGTAAGTATGGCTTGCTGATGACTGATGACTGTTTACTCACTCTATCTGTAAAAAGGTGAGGTAGTCATCAGTGGAAGGAAGAGTTAATAGGTTCCATCCTTCCCTCGGGCAATTTTAACTTTTTGGGGGAGCAGAAATATTATGACAAAATAGGTGCACTACTTTTTGGGACTGTTTAATTCCCCCCCTCCGATAAGGCCATAAAAGGTAACATGAACAAATAAATAGTTGGCAGTATTGTTAAAGTCCTGTTATTGGCTAGCAGTGACTCCAGTCCATCAGAACATAGAGCATGCTCAGAACATTTCTCATTACATTTTTGCAGATCATTTATCTAATAGATTCATAACTTCCATTTCTCCCTCTCCCTGTTTTACTAATGGTTGTAGAAGGCAAGGAGCACCAAGCACAAAAGGAAGTAGGCGAGGAATTCTCTGTCCGACATGGAGCACGATGACACCACCTGATCGCAGTTGATGTCAAGGAAAGGAAGAGAGGAAGAGAGACTAATCAGCAGGTGACAAATGACCCAACTTGTTATGCTGTCTACTGCTCACTCCAGAAATAAGTCTACTATAAGTGAAATAAGCCAACACACTCTTGGAGGGGGGGCTAGCACCCGTCCCTTTCCAATTTCTTCCACAAATTTCTATTTTTGTTCTTCTAAGACAATGAAGTATAGAGCTTTATTACAAATATAATTTTTAAAAGGGAAATTAATAATATTCAAAAAAGAAGTGTCATCACTACAGAGTCTCTTCACTTATGACAGTAAAACAGTTCCTTTTGTAGAGAGGTCATAGAAATCAGGGAGGGAGTAATTGAGCCCTCATCATTTTCTACTGATTGGCTGTTAGGCATGCTGTTCAACTGCTCATTGAACTCTTGAACTCACAAACTTTATTGTTTATCTCCTCATATTGTTTTTCTTTTCCTTGTAGATTCTGCAAGCAGTTGACATCCCCAATATAATATATGCCAAGATGGCGTGTTGCATTCTGACACCTCCCCACGCCCTCCAACTTACTGTGTTATTGTTTAAGAGTGTGAATATGGGCAATTCACAATAGTGCGCCTCTAAGAGTTTGCAGTGCATTGGCCAATCACAACGCGCGAAATCTGTCTACCCTTTTCAAACGCGCGTTGGGTCAACAGATTTGTCACACTGTGATTGGTCAACGCATTGCAAACTTTTGGAGGCACACTGTTGTGAATTGCCCGTATTACAGATAGTGCCTTTGCACTTCAAAGAAAGGGTTTATTTCCAAAATTTGAAGTATCCATTTGAAAAATAGGAATATTTTCTCAGACCTTGAAATACCAAAGAATAGAACAGCATGATGGATGTACCTCAACTGTACTTTTTTCAAGATGTATTTTTGCGTTGGGGAGATGTTAATTATATATAACGGGTTTGCCCTTACCCAACGTATATTAACCACTACCAGCCGGGGACTCCGAAATCGGAGCTGTATGGTTTA